ACCTCTTCACCTCTTTAATAAGGGTCACCTATTTAACCGAAAAAATATCTAAAAATTTCCTTACCCTTTCTAGATATAATAAAAAAAATCAAAAGTATATGAAATTATGTTGCAACATAGATAAAGATTCATGAGATATTTATAAAATAATCAAGTTTTAATTTTCATAATTTTTTGTTTCCCATGGAAGTCTTTTCGTACATGCATTCCTCCCAAATCATTAACTCTCAAAATTCAAAAATATTTAGAAGCTCAACAACTATGGTGATCAAAGAGTGCTAAATCTTGCATTATGTACACAGAGAGAAAAAAAACATGGCAATGTGATAAATGTCAAAATAACATGTAGGTTCTGACTTGGGACTATGAACGAAGATAGAGAAAACTCACAAAACCAGCAAATGAATGCAATTCTATTTGAGAGGTTTAGACATCATATACGTATGTATATGATAGGTTTTCTGAGCTTAGTTGCGGATAAGTACTCTTCACCATTGCGGAAAAAAAATGTTCCAAAAGCCATGCGCGAAGGACAGACACTGCTCGTTCAGGAAGCCCTCTCTGAGGTTTGCCAAACATGTGGTTGAGCAAATGTGCCATTGCTATTAATCGTTCTCCCAAGGCAACCATTACTGTTGAGGAGCCCAAAGCTCGAATCATCTTCTCTGCCGATGCCGATCCCTTCATCTCCCACTCCATTGTTCGACCGCCGAAGCTGGTCAGATATCATGTTCTTAAGGCATCTGAAGTGCTTGGACATGGCCTTGAGAGCCATCGATGCACATGGAGCAGCAGCACTCAATCCGGCAACAGATTCGAATGATGTAATAACAGCTTGCATCTGATGATAGTATTGTTTGCATCTTCTGAATACCTACAAATATACCATACGGAAAAATGAAATTAGTCTACCAGATTACCAATTAGTTTCATGTTAAGCGTAGTGGATTATTAGTTTCATCATCTAACGAGCATAGAATATCAGGCAAAGTTACAAGCAGTGATGAAATGATCTCAGGTAGAAGGATACTGCAAACATCAAGACCATCTAACAAGGAACTTTAATGCATCTCAAAAATGTTATGCTAATTACATTTTAGATAAGCATGGGTTTATGAACTCAACAACAATGATTTCCATTTTCATTTTAATTTTCCCATGTGACCTATGACATGTATAATTTCACTGGAGTCATTAGACTTGTAGTGAAGAACTATAGAGGCAGAAGCAATAGAAATATGGTTTTTCATGTCTTGTTGATGCAATCTATTAGTACATAATATAGCTAATGCCAATACTTTTCCCCAAGAAAAGCTTCAACGTCAATATTTCTGGTAAGTCAATGCTTCTGATATGGTCGTTCTACTTTCAGAAGATCAAAGCAAAAACGAGTCAACTGATATGTTGTCAGCAATGTCTTAAAAGAGCTTTTAAATGACTAAGAAAAATCATAGAATAAGATTTAACCTAATTCGGTTCATCTTTGTCAAAAATGAAACTAAGTTCATATAAGAAGCTAAGAAATGTCAATTATTTCCATGATAAGTTCATTCTTCATGATTAATGATTCATTTAAAATATAACTTAGAGTGCTACTCTGACAGATAATGGATTAACCAAGATATGATATTGTCACAGCAAATCGTATCCCACCTGCTGTTTCCAAAACCTGACATGAAAGAGCACAAAAACCCTTAACTTGTGTGTGTGTGTGTGTGTGTGAGAGAGAGAGAGAGAGAGAGAGATATGAAGTCTTCTCAAAGAAGCGGTGAACGCAAGGAACAATTCAGTGAGGACTCCTTATTGCTTTCTGTCATTCATATATATATATATGTATGTATATATATATATATACATATATATATATATATATATACATATATATATATATATACATATATATATGTATGTATCATATGTATGAATATATATATATATATATATATATATATATATATGTATATATATATATATGTATATATATATATATATGTGTATATATATATATATGTGTATATATATATATATGTGTATATATATATATATGTATATATATATATATGTATATGTATATATATATATATGTATATGTATATATATATATGTATTTGTATATATATGTATATGTATTTATATGTATATGTATATATATATATATGTATATATATGTATACATATATATACATGTATACATATATATACATGTATACATATATATACATGTATACATTTATATATAAATATATATATATATTTATATATATACATATATACATATATATATACAAGAGGGCTTTTCTATCGTTCGTCTTCCTATGTTCAATGGGACGGACTACACTTATTAGAAAAGTCGAATGAGAGTTTTCTTGCTTTTAATAGATTTAAATATATGGAATATTATCGAAAGCGGTTTTCAAAGATCTTCTCTTCTAATGAACGATTTGAATTATTTGGAGAAGAAGACTTTTTTTTTAAATGCTAGAGTTATGAATGCTCTATTTTGTGCCTTAGACAAAAATGAATTCAATCGGGTTTATACTTGCGAAACAGCTTTTGACATTTAGCACAGACTTGAAATCACACACAAAGGCACTAGTAGAGTTAAAGACTCTAAAATAAATATTTTGATGAATGATTTTGAATTATTTCGAATGGAACCTAGTGAGACTATTGGAGACATGTACACTTGTTTTACGGATGTCGTCAATAGTCTAAAAGCTTTTGGTAAAAGTTTTTCTAACATTGAACTAGTTAACTAAATATTGAGATCCCTTCCAAAGAGTTGGGACCCTAAAGTAATGGTAATTCAAGAGGTTAAGGATTTGAACTATTTTTAATTTGAAGAATTTATAAGGTCTTTAATGACCTATGATATGAGTTGTATGTCACAAAACAAACATGAGAACAATCTTCCAAAGAACAGGAAGAATTTGACACTTTGAACAATAGAATACCACTTGAGTGATGACTCAAGTGATGATGATGATGATGATGACCTTGAACTCCTCACAATGAAGCTTAAAATATTCTTTAAATAAGAATCAAAGAATAAAAATGAACTTAAAAAGAAGTTGCCAAAGAAGAAAAGAGTGCTCAAGGCGACTTGGGATGAATCGAATACATCCAAAGACGAGGAGCAAACCAACAAAGGCAAGGTGACAAACTGTGCTTTGACGGCTTTCGTCAACAAGATAAGCGACTCAATCGAATATCTTTTTCCTTACCATGAAATGACTTAGTGATTTTCATGATTAGTTTTATATATATATATATATATATATATATATATATATATATATATATATATATATATATATATATATATATATATATATATATA